CGACTTGGGCGGCGGTAGGCAGATGTTGGCGACTCCGCTGCGGAATAAACGCTGCGGCGGTATAAACGCTGCGGCGTGTTAGGCGTAAAGTGTGTTCAACGTGGAGACGCGGTGGGGTACGAGGAAGGGCTGTTGCACTCAGAAATACTGTTTATTGCCGCATTAAATACCCCAGATACCAGCGTGACTTCTTGAGACTCTGTCCTGCTGCCAAATGACTGCTTCTGGCGAGGCTGCTCGTGGCTTTTCCCTGAAGTTTGCAGGAGAAACACAAACTGATGTGAGTCCTGTCCTGGAGGCCCTGCTGCCTTGGTGGAGGTTTCCAAAATGAAAGCTGCATGGCCTCTGGCACAGCATAAGGTGAACAGGCTGCACCAATGCCTCGAGGCCTTTTCAGGCAGCAGGTGCCCATCAAGATAGGATTTGGGCTGAGGCAGGTAGGGCCTCTCATAAACACCAGCATTGGCCCCAAAGCTTGGAGGGTAAAGTCATAAACACAGTTTGAGGTGTTGGGCGCTGCTAGCATCAGGATGGCTCTTGCAGGGGGGAAATCATGGGCAGTTTAATGTGCTAACCCTTCCACGTGTAAGCCATTTACCAACTGTAAAGCAGACCCAATCAACGTGACCAGGCAATAATTCACTGTGGGCAACACAATACTGTGGGAGACCTCGGCTGGTCCGAGGGATCAAAATACAAGTTTAACACTGACCCTGAACAGATACCCGTGTACCCTTGAGGAGACAGAAGAATCCTGAGAAGATCCGAGCAAACAAGATAAGGGGTGGCAAACATCCTGGCTTTTCCCAGAGCATGAACAGTGCGTGATCAACAATTGTATTGGCTGAATGGTGTGTGATGTGAGAGTGGATTGGGCAAAAGTAGAATGTTAGAATATATGCACAGATAAGCAACCAGCTAAGAGGATATAAAAGAGCACTGCTTGTAAAATAGAGGGACGATTGCTGTAACTGGATATTGAGTGTCGTGTCCGTCTCTACAACGACACAATACTACACAGCTATGCATCTGGTCGTGCTTTTTTATATATATATACACAAACACACATATATATATATGAAATTGTTACCTGTAAAAAAGGTCAAAGTTCTGATTCTCCCAAAATACAGATACTATGTTTAAAGAGGAGACATTGCTTTATTCCGGCCAGGGTGCAAGGTGGAATATTTCCACAAATCATGCACACAGAACAGGACTCTCCGTGCGGTTTATATACACATTTTACAATATCATTATATTAGTAACTCCTATTGCTATTTGATTGGCTAGTAATTTACATATGATTGCACAATCAAGTTACAGCTACTGCGCATGCTCAGGGGAAAGGTCTTCACCAAGGCCAGGGTCTTCTTGACCTATGATTGAGATTTTATTACCTTCATTAAAATGAAGGTAATTCAGCTTAGGACACTCAGAATTTTCATGTTTCTGCCAAGTTGGCTAAACTTCTCAAAACATGTAGATTAGTAGCATTTTCAAGGTCCGTATGCTCGTATGCTTCAGGATGTTTCACTTCAAGAATGGTAACAATACTTGGTTTCCTTGATTAGGAGTTCTTTCACTATGGATTCAAGGACAGAATCCTCATCACCCGTAAGAACATCTTAAAAGTTCCTGAACTAATTATCCCTGACGCTGGGAAAGAAACATCTCCAAGGTGAACCATCTGGGCAAGCAGACAACAAAATGCTTGTATGCAAGACTCTATATCAAAAGTTCAGCTCATGCCAATGGTTAATGAGCCTCACTAACTTTCATGCTAACAAAACCAGCTAAAATTTTAACTATAAGATAACAAGTCATGAAATAGGAGAAATGAAAAAGCAAAAAAAAAAAAAAAAGTAACAACAGTTTGATTTCCTAAACTTAACTTCACAGTTAAAATAGATTGAATCTGATTTCCCTGAAGCTTTTTCTAGGAAGATTTTAATATAGACATTTATGTACGTTTGTCTCGTGCAAATATCTCACAGGAAAGATAATTTGGAGGGAGGCAGGGAATAAATACTGCTACGTGATTTAAACCTAAAATGGTTTCACATTTGATTACCTGAACTTGTTACAAAAAGAACAGAATTTGTCATACATGACTGGTAATAACTCTGAAATCTTGAGATACCCTAAACAAAGCTGTGACAAAGCACATAGGGATGGCATTCTGTTCCTTACTTGATGGTTCGGTATTAAGATATTTTGACATGTAGATGTCCTACAGATAGTATTGAAGTGTGATGGCTAAAACCAGGATGGAATTGGTGCTTCAGGGGCAAGTTTCTTTGCTTTCTATTGTTGTCTAACTGTGATTATTAACCAAAAATATGAATAATTTTATGCCCCTCAGGAATTAAACATATTTTGTGAAAGAAGAATTTATATTACTAGCTAGACAGACTCAGGAAGAGTTTAACATAAATATACTTATTCAGGATCCATTTGTGCATGTTAGTGTGTTTAAGTAGTTCCATGGGCTGCCATGGAGTCAGTCTAGAAAGCATATTTCATATTTCTAATTTAAGACATGAAGAGACAATTTGAGAAGTTTCTCCGAAAATGCAAAAATCATTTTTGTTCATATAATTGACTTAAACATATATTTTTGTCTCACCGTTTAAATGGCAATTTTTATATTATTTTGAATATAACAAGGCCTTTTCAAAGTATTTAAGTAATTCATTCACAGCTGCAGTAATTATTCCTGCAAATAGATCTATGAATTAGGATCATTGCTGCTGCTGCTAACGGATCAAGTTTTTTTTATGAGGTATATAGTCCAAACTAACTGCATTTAGGAAATCTGAAATACTAAAAATATTTAGCAATAGTTTAGTGTTCCAACACTTCAATTGGCTTTGACTGTAATTGCAATTAAAAAATGAAACAGACTATATATTGGAGCTAGAGGTCTGGTGAAACAGTAAAGCTGATTACATTTAAAATCCTTATGCTGCCTGTAGCTAATGCTGGATGATGTGTTATTGAAGTATAAGCTTGGGGTTTTTTTTGTTTTCTAGAGAATGGCAATTGAGTTTTAAAGTACCATTTGGGATGGTCAGGTCCCTCTCTGGGGTGGGCATGTCCTCCACACGGGTACGGTTTGGCCCCTTCTGAAATCTAACTCACTTGGTACTGGTATCATATATACATACAAGTAATCTGTCATAATGTATCCGCTGTTTTATTGCTGATAAGTTGCTTCACTAATGGTAAGTTCATAGTAACCTGCAATAGTAAATACCTACCTGGTTGCTGCTGTTACTGGTTGTTGCTATAATGTTAATTGTTGCTGTACAGTTGATTGCTGCCGTTATTGATTGCTCCTAGTAATCTGTAATTTAAGTTTGCTGTATTAATCATAGGTACAATTGCTAGTGGAGATTTTTGTGGTAGCACACCTGCTAGCGGTGATTATTTTGTGGTAATCTGTAATAATGTAGAGAAATTTCAAGGCTGAAATGTCCATGTCCACGTCCATGTCCACGTCCATGTCCATGTCCATGTCCTCGTGTATTACCAAATCCTGCGAACCCACGGCCGCCATCCCCGCGCACCCAACGGCTGGGCTGCCCTTGCGGCCGTAGAAGGGCTGAAGACCGGAAGTAGGCCGGCAGCGCCCAGCGAGAGGCCGCAGGAGGCCCC